CTGTCACGTCCCCCCCCTTCCCCCAGGGCCAAGCTCTACTACCTGCGCGAGCTCACGGGCAAGAGCGCGCGCCTCAAGGAGATCTTTGTCACCAAGGGCGACAAGGCGGCCAAGGCGGCCAAGAGCGGCTGAACGCTGGGCATGGCGTCCCGCACTTTGTAATCAACCGCGCAACGCCCTGTCTTGCTGCGCGCCTGGGCAGAGGACAAACAGTGCATGGTAGCAAACTTATCGCGGGCGGCTGAAGCAGGCAGCTGCCCAACGCTGTCTTTTTTTTCGCAAAGCAGGGCGTATCGGTATGTGCTCACACATATTGCAGGGCACGAGCTGCCAGCTGCGCCCTCGTCCTCAAGTGGCTTCGGGGCGTTGTGACAGCCGCGTCGCGGGCTGGGCAACCCAGGCAACCAGGTCAATCAGGCCCGATGCCGCAACAGAGGGGTTGGGCGCACGAAGCCGTCCCTGCGTGCAGCGCGTCCAGTCGGCACCATGTCAGGAAATGCGGGTGGGCAGCAAGGCACACAAAATGGCAGCCTGACTACGTCCCCAAGCTCCAGGTGGTTTGGGATGGAGTAAGCTCACACAGTAACCTCAGAGGGTAAGTATGCTAAATTGTAAAGAGATGCCAAGTGAACCGTGGCGCGTGCACGCGCGGCATCGGCACCTTGCGCAATGTCGGCTGCAACACCACGAGCTCCCACGCCTTCGCGCAACGTATGCGTCAAAACTCACATCTACACGTTGTAGAGCGAGCGGGGGTCTGTAACGGCCGGTTGCGAAACTTTGCAGACGTACGTACCCGGTTTTGCTCATTTGCGGATGCAAAAATGTTGGGTCTCGACGGAGTGGCCGAGCTGACCTGTCGCATTCCACAACCACGAAGCGTAAATAATGTTCCTGCTTTTCAATTGTCAGTCACGACGGCTTCTTCGTTCCAACATTTCAGGACTCGACTCATCGACACTGCGGTGGCCAACGCGCCCCTAGGGTCCCTCGTCACTATTCAAACGTGACCCTGTCAACATCATCACGCTTCAAGGATGAAGCGCACAGCCAGTGACGCACAGCTCAGCTGCAACACGCCCGGCTGGGCTGACGCATCTGCAGACCGGCGCCAGCGCACTGGCAGCATGGCCCCCATCTTGGTCAAAGAGGAGCCCCTCAGCACAGGTGCGGCTTGTGGGAGGTCGCGGGTACAGAACAGCATTTTCGGCTGCTAGCTGCCGTGATTAGCTGAACAGCATTGGTTGCTGGTCACTTGAGCAATCACTTCGTGACGGGCCTCGAGTGCTTGTTTGCAAAGCTGCATCTACACATGCTGTGCAAGTGCGCAGTGGCCCATTCGACAGCCACATGCGAAACTGACGTATACCCTGCCACGGTGGCACCCTCACCCCTTGGCCCATACCCCCCTCCCCCACTGCACACGCACCCGCTTGGCTCCATGCCACTACACAGGTGCCGGCCCCCACGCCACCGCCTACCACGCCGCCGTCACCCACCCCGCCTTCTCCAGCGAGCAGCTCCTGGGCCTGCCCGCCGTCACCATGAACTCGCAGCCGGCCCAGTGGCACCACCACCAATCGGCCACCCACAGGGCCTGGCACTGCACCCACCCGGCACACGGCCCCGAGGCGCCGGTGCCGGGCGCCCTGGCTCGTGCCGAGCCCGGGCCCAGCCCGGCTGTGGCGGACGCCAACAGGCGCGCAGCGGCCACGTTCCAGTACCTCCAGACCTACCTGCTGGCCGCCCCTGCAGGCAGCCGGCAGCGGATGGTGGCGATGGCGGGCGCACAGCGTCTTTGGCAAGAGCAGAGCGCCGCTCGGCAGGCGGCGCAGGAGCAGGAGGCGCGGCTCGCCCAGCAGCAGCAGCAGCAGCAGCAGCAGCAGCAGCAGCAGCAGCAGCGCGTGCAGGAGGCGCAGTGGATGCAGCAGGCCCAGCACGCGGCCCAGCAGCAGGCTGTTGCGCAGCAGGCACAGCAGGCACAGCAGGCGCACGCGGTCCAGCAGGCGGCCGCTCACCAGGCTGCCGTTCAACGCGCGGCCAACCAGCACACCCAGTGGGGGCAAGAGGCCGCTCAACAGACCACTACTCAGTGTGCGGCAGCGCAGCCGTCCGCCGCCCAGCAGGGGGCTCAGCAGGCCCGGCACGACCATCATCACGGCGGCGACAGCAGCGCCCAAGTCCGCCCCGACTGGGTGGGGGCGCGCGTGGACTACCAGGCGGTCCTGTCCAGTGGCCCCCTGGTGCACCACCACCTGGCAACCCTGGAGGCGGCGTGGGGCGTTGTCGCGGCGCCGCAGGAGGGCGCGCGCTGGGCGTGGATGGGGGCCGACCGCGTTGAGGGCGAGTCCGGGTGGGCGGCCTTCGACGCGGCCGACATCTACCAGGGAACCGACCCCGTCGGGGCAGGTGGCTTAACGTATGAGGCCGTCAACAACGCCGTGATGCGCAGCAAGGCGCGCGCTGCGCGCTGCGCGGCAGTGCCTCACGAGCGCGTGTGTGTGGAGCGCGTGGCGGAGGCGCTGCAGGAGTTCAACCACCGCCAGGTCGTCACCAGTGAGTTTGATGACGAGCAGGGCACTAGCTCGTGCGCGGCTGCGTGCGGGTCCACAGGAAGCATGCTGCATGCTTCCTATCCTGCAGCGTGCATATTCCTGCAGGCGCCACACCCAAGCAAAACCAGCAACCTACCCTATCCTTGTGAACGTTCACGACCCCCGCCACCTTCAACTGATAGAACTTTCCCAAACGCCCTCCACACCCCCAGACCAGGCGTTCTTCTTCTACGGCGACGCGTCAGCCATGATGCACATGAGCGAGGTGGATGCGCTGTTCAGGGTCGGGGGGAAGGGGGGGGGGCTCGCCCAGGAGCCCCATAGAGCGTGCATGCGCCCCCCCCCCCAGTTGAGATCTGCAACACGTCACGGCTGACCTGTCTGGTTCAAATTGCTTGCATTCAACCACCACAAGGAAGCAACAAACACATTCCCACACTGCACTCGCTGCGATCTCAGGTGCGCGCACTCCACAGGGCAACATGTGCCTTCTGCGGTGAGGTCCCTGGCGCACACTCAGGCCCCCGGCGTGCCTTTGGGCGCCCAGCAATGTTTGGCGCCGCCGCCAACCGGGAGTTCTACTTCACGGCGGCCGCTGAGCGCGTGAGGGTCGCCGGCTCCCCGCTCGGTGCGCTGGAGGGGCTGTCCCACTGGGGCTGCGGCGAGCACCCCTGCGGCAAGCTGTGTCAGCGCTGCATGGCGGTGCTGCTGGACGAGGCCGTTGGCGGTGTGCTGCTGCCGGGGCGCGACCCGCACGCTGGGGCTCAGCCGGTGCCGGCGCCGGCGCCGGCGCCAGCGGCTGCACCCGTGTCGCCGCCCTCACCATCATGGCCCAAGGCCGCGGGTCCCACGGCAGCAGCATGCGCGGCGGCAGAGGCGGCGGTGGTCGCGGCGGCGGCGGTGGCGGCGGCGGCGGAGGCGCCCGCACCGGTGCAGGCGCTGGCAGGTGGAGCCTTTGACAATGGTGACTGGCGCCCGGCGGCGGCAGAGGCGCTCCAGGCGAGCGGCGCGTATGAGCAGGAGGGGTCCGAGGAGGCGGTGTTCGGGGACGAGGGTTGGCAGCAGGACTGGGCCGATGACGGCGCTGTCGAGTACGAGGGCGGTTATGACGACGGCGGTTGCGATCTGGCATATGACTACTGTGGGGATTTCGATTACGACGGCGGCTGGGAATTTGACTCAGTTGGGGGTGGCGACTGGTGCGAGTACTAGGCCGTCTGCCCTCCTGGCTGGTGGCAGTCAGCAGCGCGGGGGCACGTCAGACAAGGGCTTGCTTCCCGCATGCGGGCAGGCGCAAACTATGCAGGGTGCATGAGTCAACGCAGATGTGATGGCAGCCACCCCCTCTCTTTCTGGTGTGTATGGCTGTCATTGACAAGACACTTTGTTTGTATTGCCCTTTGGCTCTACATATCTGTAACTACCAAAGCACCATCAGCATTTTGGAGGTTCGACCCGCACATGGCGGCCGTGCGCTGCGGACCGCCGCCCGATGGACTTGATCAGAGTGCTCACCAAATGTGGCTTCATGTTCTGAGGTTACCAATTCAGTACACTGCCTGGCTGTGGGCCCTTAGGAGGCAAGGCTGTTGTGGCTGGGCATGCATGTGCGTGCCACCCTTGGGCCAAGGGGTCGACGACAAGGGCCAAGCTGCCCAGTGGTTTGCCATGCTTTGACATCGGACGCGGCACACGTATTGGCGTGCTTGGACAAAACGTGCAGGGGCATGGGCCGCTGCAGCACCGCTGCAGACTACAGCAGGGGCTCCAGCACGCCCGCGGGAGGCGGTGAATTGCACTTGATCATATGCGCCCGCCATGGTGACAAATGTAATCTACAAGGAGAGCACGCTGCGGGAAAAGAGTGTCCCAAGATGACCCCTGCCGTGCCGGGCTGGCTGCCCCGTTTGCACGCTCCAGCCGGCGCACCAGCCCCGCCTCGGCAAAGACAGCGGACGGCCAGCGCACGGCAGCTGCCGCCAGGCCCGCCGCCACGCCGCGCGGACGAGACACGTGGGTTGACGCCGCCAGCCGCGGCGCCGAGGGGAAAAACCCCGTTCCGGCCGCCCTTATCTCACCTTCACCACCCCTCCAAACATCATGCCCTGAGGGTATCATTCCTGGATGAGCCCCTGGGTGACATGACGCCGAGGCTCCCCCACCCCCAGGGCAAGAGGGTGTTCCACCCTGCCCAGCCCCCTAGGGCTGCCGTCAGTGGCCCCCCCAGGCGCGCTGGTTCTCAGTGACAATGCCGCCCCCGTCCGGCGCGGTGCTGAGCCACCACAGCCAGGACGCCAGCTCAGCGGCCTGCGCCGCCTTGCTGCCAAAGACCCAGTCGTCCCACGGCAGGCAGTCCGCCTGGCGGGGGCAGGGAGGGGCGGGTGCAGGGGTAGGGAGTGGGCCCGGCAGGCCGCACCCAGCCGCCCTGTTGGTGCGGGGCAGCCGCCCTGGTTGTGCCGGGTGGAAGCGACACCGCGGCGCAGGCCCCACCCTCTGTGCCAGAACCATATTGTCATGCACACCAAGGCACGTATGCACCCCCCCCCCCGAATACACGCGCGCACACACACACATACACACACACACACACACACACACACACATGCACGCACGCACACGCACACGCACGCGCACGTGCACGCGCACGCACGCACGCACGCACGCACGCACGCACGCACGCACGCACACACACACACACACAAACACACAACACACAAACACACACACACACAC